TATTTTTTCTCAATTTAGTTCATATGACTGGTTTTTCTGTAGTTCATATTTGGCTTTCAAAAATGGTGGAAGTCATAAGATGGAATTATGGGACAAGTTTGGAAGCAAACCAAATGAAAAATTTGAGAAGTGTATACTCTAAAAAAAGCGTATGTTTAACAGAGAAATTCTTACATGGAAACAACCTTATATCAATACTTTTAGAAAGAACTAATAAGAATAAAGAAAAATTTTAATTTATTTAAATTTTAATTTTTTTTAATTGGATTCATGGGGTGGTTGTGATTATGAAGGAGATATGAAATATTATATTTATTTTTTAATTAATTAAAAATTTGTGATTGGTCAGTCCCCTCTTGATTGCATTTGTGGTGGATTGATCTGTAGTCCTCCCTGCCAAGTCCAGCTCCAATCACCACTGGATCAACTAAGGATTGGTTAACAACCCATTACTTCAACATTAATATAAGGAATGGTCAATTTGGACACATTTATTACCGTAGTGCTAATCCTCGTCCTGAAAGGCGTTCTAGATGGCAAACTGAGTTTAGATTCAAATGTATAAAATGGTTAAATAAGTTTGTGTGTCTTAAAAATTTTCATCCGCGATATTGCAATTTAGTCCCCGAAAATACTTTTATTTTTGTGAACAGAAAAAATTTGAGAGAAATATTTTGAAGACTTAGGGAAAAATTTGATATATTTAGGAGAACCGTGTGGCAAGTTATTAAATTATTTTTACAATCATTCACCAAAATCTTTAGTGAAATGATGAAAACCTGATAAAGGAACAGTATAAAGTAAGAAGAGTTTCTCAATTAGTGTGTGACACTGGACACATATTTTCACTAAAAAATAAAAATGTCTTGTTGTGAGCAAGCCACCTCAATTGTGAAGAAATACTTGAGCTTCCATGTTCTTTCATCTCAAACTCTGCGGATAGTCTCTCCTAGAATAATTGCCTCGCAGCCATATCATCACCTCTAATAATGATATCGTCAACATAAAAAAGAAGAATAATAAGTTTTCTTCTATGTAAATGTTTGAAGAAAATATATGATTTATCTTGCTCAGGTTGTTTTCTATGCCCCGTATTGATTTTGTCAATATTCTAGCCCATATAAGATTTCCTTAGTCTGCATATTTGGTTTGTTCCACCAATGGGTCCAAGTTATGGGAGAATCTCCATATACACCTCATCTTTTAATTCTATAAGTAAGAAAATTCTTTTTACCTTAAACAAACATAAGCCGTAATCAGGGCGAGCAATAAGAAACATTAAAATCTGAACAATGTTCAGATTTATAAACAATAATGATTGTCGATTTATTATCCAAAATCAACTCAACATCATAGAGATTCACACTTTATCTTCAAACCTCCTAGCATGATATTAATCCACGACAACTCATAAATTATGTCGTAGCTCTAATTTCTTCCACAACACTCGAGAAAGAGGCTACACTTTTCTTCTTGTTTCTACAAGACTAAAGGTTTCCCCACATGAAGATGCAATACACTTAAGCGGGCCTTTTATCACTCATTGAACCTACATAGTCGACGTCAATATAAGTCTCCATAGTGAAACTTCCACGACTTTTGAATAAGAGGCATCTCTCTAGATTAGCCTTAAGATATTGTGGTTTGCAGGTGGCTCACCTTTGGATTATGCATGAATTGTCTCACAATATTAGATTGTATATATTAATTTTGATCTAGTATAAGCCAAGTAAATAAATTTTTCCGCTAATCTTTGATATTGAACCTTGTGATTTAACAATTTCACTTTATAGCTTATCCAATGATTTTGCTCGATGAAAACACTTGCAGGTTTAAATATAATTTTGTTTGTTTCCTTTTAAGACCGGGCACATATTTTCACCAAAAAATAAAAATATCTTGTTGTGAGCAAGCCACCTTAATTATGAAGAAATACTTGAGCCCTAGTCTTCTTTCATCTCAAACTCTGCGGATTGTCTCTCCTTGAATAATTTCCTCTCAACCATTTCACCACCTCTAATAATGATATTATCGACATAGACAAGAAGAACAATAAGTTTTCTTCTGTAAATGTTTGAAAATATATATATGATCTCTCTTGCTCAGGTTGTTGTATATGCCCCATATTCATTTTGTCAATATACCAACCATGCTCGGGGAGACTATTCTAGCTCATATAAGATTTCCTCACACTGAACATTTATTTTCTTTCACTAGTGGGTCCAAATTTGGGGAGAATCTCCATATACACCTCCTCTTTTTATTCTATAAGTAATAAAATGTTTTTTAGATCAGACAAGCAAAAACTGCAATCAGGGTGAGCAACAAGAAACATCAAAATCTAAACAATGTTCATGTTCACCATTGGAGAAAATGTCTCCTCGTAATTAATATCATGTGATTTAGGATATCTTTTTGCTACCGGTCTAGCCTTCTATTAATCGAGATTGGCATATGATTTGTGCTTGACTTCATAGATCCACTTGCATCCAACATGTTTCTTTCCTTCCAACTCAAGTCTCATTTCTTTCAAGTGCTATCATTTTCTCATCCATAGCTTCAACCCAATTATCATTCAGTTGAACATATGATGAGATTCTCACACATTAAAAAACTACAATATAACTATGATGTTGCATAGGAAAATTATTAGAGGACACAAATTGAGAGAGAAGATATTTGAAACAATACCTTTTTTCTTTTCTCAATACAATAATTAAATCATCAGTATTAATATCGTAAGTGTCATAAATCTAAGAATCACTAATAGAATGATACTTTCAATACTTACTTCTAGCTCAAGCGGTTGAGGTTGTTTCAAGGATAGGTCGAATTTACTACTTCTCTAATACACTAAAATTAGTTCACTAGCTTTGGTCTTTGTTGGTGTTAAGGGTGTTGGTTTATCCATAATAAAAGAGAAATTGGGAACCAAAACAAAAGGAACTTGGTTTTTCAAATTGTATTTTTACTTTGTTGTAAAAATGAATGAACACTTGAGATACTTCTAATTTATCCTTAATAAAACAAAAGTTAAATCACTCGAGTAAAGTCATTAATAAAAGAAACAACCTATCTTGCATCAAAAATATTAGAAATATGAAAAGTCCTCAAACATTAGAATGAATTAAATCAGGTGGTTAATAATGTTTGTGCTTTGATTTGATTGATGGACTAGAATAGAGCGGAACGAAATAGAACATGGTGAAATTGACTGGAGTGAAGCGGAATAGAACAAATATTTCATTCAATTGTTTGAATATTTTTTATAATTTTATAGAATGAAATAGAACAAGTTATTTTATTATATTGCATACACCCCAAATTGAATATAATGAAATTTGAAAATTTGAATTAAATATGATGGAATAGATTTTTTTATGTTTCATTCCGTTCTATCCATTATTTACAAATCCAAACAATAAAATCTAATTGTATAGCACGCTATTCCATTCCTTTCCATTTCATAATATCCCATCAACCATAAAATACCATTAGTAAAACTATAAGGAAAAAATATGATGGTGCTTAAAAAACAGACAAATGTCAAACTTCAAAGACTAATTTAAAAAAAAAAATCTGGAAATATAGACTTCATCAAGATAAAAGTGGAAAACCAAGATAACACATTCGGATCAATTCATTCATCAGACAAATAGTATAACCTTCATTATTTCTTAATAACTCCTTCCAAGTTGCAAGAATCTAAAAAGTAGAATGAGAATAAAAAAGATTACTGCACAATTATAATCCTTGATAAGCTTACTAATAGAAATAAAACTATGAAAGGTATAGAAACATGTAGACGTCTTCCGGTTTATAACAAGGCTGAAATTCAATATTTTAGGAGAAATATATGAAATAAACAGTTCTAAATGAGATATCAAACATTCTTAGACATAGAATCAAACATTCTTAGACATAGTACAAGTGGCACTACGACTCTTATCACCCATTTTCATATGAGTGACGTTACAAACAATCTCAACAACATTTACCATTTAAAAGTTGAAGAAAAACTAGCCAACGAAAATTATTGTGAAACTCCTTTAATGTGCATGCCTTATTCTCTTCAGTTGTGACATCATGTGCATTGCAATCTTCATTTACACTACCTCTAATTATCCATGCATGAAAGCATTTTTTACACCAATTTAGTGCATTCCTGATGCATCATTCTGAATTTGCATCACATCTTCCTCTTTTTCTAGCATGCAGTTGTAACTCATATAGGCTATGTATTTTATTTTTTTTCTGTTGTTTTAAGCATATTTGAGCACCTTGATTTTCAAAAATAATGGAAGTCATAAGATGAAATTATGGGACAAGTTTGAAAGCAAATCAAATAAAAAAATTTAAAAAGTGTAAACTCTAAAAAAACATATGTTTAACAACCCATTACTTCAACATTAAAACAAGGTCAATTTGGACACATTTAGTCCCTCAATATTTTCCTCAAAGTTTGGTGTCTTAAAGTTTTTCATCCGTGGTATTACAGTTTAGTCCCCGAAAGTACTTATATTATTGTGAACAGAAAATTTTGAGAAAAATATTTTGAAGACATAGGAACGAAATTTCGTATATTTAGGAGAATCTATTTTAACAATCATTCATCAAAATCTAAGTTATTAAGCTATTTTTACAATCATTCATCAAAATCTATAATGAAACGATGAAAACCCGATAAAGGAATGGTAGAAAGTAAGACAAGTTTCTCAATTTGTCTCGTATATATTTATACCTATCGAAGTACACCAACAGATTGCCAATAAAATGCCGCGTTAAAAAAAGTTACTCAAACAATACCAGTCAGATTTCTAGTTCTATACCCATAACCTGAGAATTTTCAGTTTTGGTTCTCTTTGTAAAAGAAAAACTACATAAGACTCAACCTTCTTACTCCCTAAATTACAATCAAATAAATATCCATCTTTTACTTTGGTTGGTCTTTTATACTCAACCAACCTTATTCCCTAAATTCACAAAAATTTAAGATCGACTCAATCTTGCTTATTAGCCTCCATCATCAGTTCTTTAACTTGTCTAACAGCATTACTTACAGCATAAAGGCTCATCTTTTTAACCTGTAAAACAGAGAGAGGTCGTCAACGATGTAAACTTTTCAATGCGGAGAGAGCTCTTTTTGAAATACAAGGATAATAAGTAAAAGTGGGAAGCTCAACATGCATCAGAAATTAAACAGACTTGCCTCCAATTTGTCCTCCTTCGCTCTGTGGTACTTTGGGAGTAAACGAAACTCTTCTGTTAGTCGTAAACATTCTCCAACATTTTCCGGCGAAACAAAGTCAAGTGCAACCTTCATACAAGACTGACCGATGAAAATAAGTTAGGCAACAAAAATATAATAATGCTTACACTTCCTTGAAATCTTCCAGCAATAACATCATGCAATATTACCTGTCTATTTCTCACTTGATGAGGACATCCTGCTGGAATGAAAACAGCCTCGCCAAGGTGTTGCTCGAAAGTCCATGGTTCAACATCTGCGTATACAAAAGGATGTTACTATTTTGTGGTAGTAGCTTTTATCCAAGTTTAAATCGGGAAAATGAACTTACTATATTCTTTTTTTAGCTGTTTCTTGTGCCTCGCATTTAAGAATATAGTCTGATCATGAATGGGATGTATAACCTGAAACCAGCATAATAAAAGAGATTCAGTTCTCCACCTATGGTTAGTATAGTAAACAGTGGCTGGCTGGCAATGCAACTCACCGAATCAACTAGTTCATTCTTGATATGGCGAAATTCCTTCTCGTGCTTTCTTACGTACTCAATTAACTTTGGGACATCTTCCCGACGGAAGATATCCCAAACAGCACCACCAAGGACAGTCTCAGCTTCATTATCAATGTTCAAGGAATCTCTCCCATTGTCTTGATTTGACTCTATCTTGGGATTACCAGCCTCAGATTCATGATAAAGTTCTAAACAGTCTTCTCTATCATATGACTTCTTCAATTTATTTATGCTTTCTCTCTGCCAGTCCTCTATATTCACCTTGTTTGTGTGTGTCAGCACATTCACCTAAACATCCATCACACAATTATGTGACATAAGATATAGTTTAATGCAAAAATAGGAGGTTACAAATTTTTCAAGAGTGGATATAATTAGACTTGAATACTAATTATTCATAACCAAATTGAACAGAAACACATTAACACATAAACACACAAAAACAACTCCATACTATGTACAAAGGTGGTCACTATATAAATTAGAGTGCATAAATTCTATTAGTGGCTATCCTAAAATTAAGTAAACAGAGCAATAAAGTCACACATGAAATGGAAGATGTGAAGACGTTCCTCCTCAAATAGGTGAACAGATGTCTAAAAAATATTTTTATTGGTGATGATGCAAGAATTGACTACACACATTCTGTCCATGCCACGGTTGGCTTTGTGTGGGCTAGACAAATTATTTTTTTCAGAAGCTTATGATACTCTAGAACAAGAAAAAGATGTAGTTATTCTCAAAGATTATTAATTGAACCAATCGTAGATCTTATCAAGAGAAATTTCAAATCTCATGGCTATCACTTTTTTATGAAAGTGACTATCATTCATCTCCATGTTCATCTGCTAATCAAATCCACTTTTAGTTGTTTTTTTTTTGTTCTTCATTAGTGTTTCTAAAATGATTCTTAAAAACTGCATAAAAATAATCTTATGAGTATTACTTCAAAAGTAATGAATATGATTGCTAACTTATTTACTTCATTAAATAGGCTATGGTATACCTATAAGACCTAATTCACAGGGGCATAATACCATTTGTACAATAATAAAATCAATATTTACAAGACTAGCCTTCAAGTTGGTGAATGGGTATATATCATTCACATCTTACAAGTAAATTGGTTGTCAACTAATATATTAAAGAAATGTAAATCGGAGTTATTAATCCATTATTTGTTTGTTTATCTCGTGCATTTAGCCCCGTTATGATAAACAGAATTATGAAACAATCCTGATTGTCAATTTATTGTCACAAACCAACTCAACTTCTTAGGGACTCACATTTTATCTTCAAACCTTCTAGCACAATATTAATCCTCGACAGCTCATAAATTGTGTCATAGCTCAAAAATCTACCTCAACACTCGAGTAAGATGTTGCACTTTTCTTCTTGTTTTTCCAAGACACATGGTTTTCCGACACGAGGATGCAATTCACTTGGGGTCTTTCTTTTTTTTTTAGAATAAAACAAAACTACTTCTTTCATTATAAATCAAAAGATCAATACAAGGAGGAACAAGATGTATGAAACTACGCCTAACCCAGAAATTGGTCGTCTTCGCTAACGAATGGACAACCATATTCGTTTGACGTTTGATAAACTCTATCTCAAAGTTAGGAAAATTAAGCAACAACGATTGAATGATTCTAATAATAGCATAAAACTCGGAATTGCCAATGACTTTGGTTCGTAAAGCTTGTACCACCCGAAGAGAGTCACTTTCAAAAATAACTCAATCAAGTTGCATAGTAATAGCACCTTGAATGGCTTCCTTGAGAGCTAATGTTTCCGCTTCGATGACGGGAATAACACCAACATCCCAAGTAGTACTTGCGGTATGAAAATTACCCAAGCTATCCCGGATGTACCAACCTCTGTTTGACATACCATAGATCTTATTAAAACCCGCATCCACATTACATTTAAACCAACCAAAAGAAGTCGGAACCCAAGATAAAACCTGTTGTGGACCAAGACCATCATCCTGATTATGATGAACTGAGAACCGCTCATGCCACCTGTGAAACGCCAACCACCTAAGTTTAGAAGCCTCCTCCCGCTCGTTATTCCAGATAAAGTCATTCATATGCTTCCACATGCCCTCTAGCGTAACGGTTAACCTGCCAGCTATATTTCTTTCTTCCTTGCTACAAATATAAAAAAATTATCAACTTTATATCATTAAATGACTGAAGTCGATGATCAATAATATTATTCAAGTCGGCTTCCCGCCAACATTGGTTCGTTTCAGAACAACTAAAGAAGACATGTCAATCATCTTCTATATTATTGCTACAAAAAGGACATTCTCTCGGACATAGAACATGATGCTGACGAAGTCACACTTTGAGTCTATTGGGGAGTTGGTTTTTAGAGGGCTTTGGAAGATTGTCTCTATATTTTAAAATGTGTTTGATATTTTTTAAAAGTTTAAAAAACAATATACTACATTAGAATATAAAATATGTTTTTTAAACATATTTCAAGATATAGACCCAACCTTCTAAAGTCTTCCACTTCAAAACTCTCGAAAAACGAACTTCCAAACAGACTCTTCTTAAGTGGACCTTCTATCACTTATTAAACATACATAGTCGACGTCAATATAACTCTCCATAATGAAACTTCCACATCTTTTAAATAGGAGTCATCTCTCTATGATAACCTTAAGATATTGCAGTTTACGGGTAGCTCACTCTTGGATTATGCATGAACTGTCTCACAATATTGATTGCATATGTTAAGTCTGGCCTTATATAAGCTAAGGTAAATAAACTTTTTAACTAATCTTTGATACCAAACCTTATGAACCTTAGCACTTTCCCTTCATAGCTTATCCAATGATTTTGCTTGATGGAAACAACTGCAGGTTTACCTCTAAGTTTGTTTGTTTCCTACCAAGAGATCAGGCACATACTTTCACTAAAAAATGTCTTGTTGTGAGCAAGACACCTCAATTGTGAAAAATACTTGAGTCCCCCGTGTTCTTTCATCTCAAATTATGCATATAGGCTCTCCTTGAATAATTGCCTTTCAACTACATCATCACCTCTAATAATGATATCGTCAACATAAACAAGAAGAACAATAAGTTTTCTTCCGTGTAAACATTTGAAGAAAACGTATGATCTCACCTTCTCAGCTTGTAAGCTTGCTACATCCCCAATTGATTTTGTCAATCTTCCGACCATACTCAGGGAGACTATTTTAGCCCATATAAGATTTCTTCACTTTGCACATTTGGTTTGTCCCACCAATGGATCCAAATTGTAAAAGAATCTCTATATACACCTTTTTTTAAGTCTATATGTAAGAAACTGCTTTTGCGAGCAACAAGAAACATTAAGATCTGAACAATGTTCATGTTCACCATTGAAGTGAATGTCTCCTCATAATTAATACCATGTGTTTTTGGGTATTCTTTTGCCACCAGTCTAGCCTTGAATTAATCAATGGGTCCAAATTCTGGGAGAATCTCCATATACACCTCCTTTTTAAGTCTATATGTAAGAAACAGCTTTTTACATCAAACAAGCATAGGTCACAATCAGGATGACCAACAAGAAACATTAAGATCTGAACAATGTTCATGTTCACCATTAAAGGAAATGTCTCCTCATAATTAATATCATGTCTTCGAGTATCTTTTTACACCAATCTAGCCTTGTATTAATCAAGAGAGGCGTATGATTTGTGCTTGACTCCATAGATCCACCTGCAACCAACGAATTTCTTTCCTTTCAACCCAAATCTCATTTCTTTCAAGTGCTACCATTTTCTCATCCATAGCTTTAACCAAATTGTCTTACAGTTGAATATATGATGAGATTCTCACACATTCAACAACTACAATAAAACTTTGATGCTGCATAGAAAAATTATTAGAGACAAATTCATAAATAAGATATTTGAAACCATACCTTTTTTCTTCTCTCAACAATAAGTAAATCATCTGGATCAATATAGAACAGAGCAAAGATAATGGAACATGATGGAATTGAGTGGAGCGGAGCGGATTGGAACAAAGATTTCATTCCATTATTTTGGTTTTTTTTTATAATTATACGGAACAAAAATAGAACAAGCTAGTTCATTTCATTGCATACACCCCAAATTGGGTGGAATGAAATTTGAAGAATTGAATGGAATAGAATGGAATGGAATAGATTTCATCATTTCCATTCTGCTCCATCTATTATTTACAAATCCAAACAATAAAATTCGATTATATACCGCTCCGTTCCATCAACCCTATTGGAAAAAACTCAAGTCCCGCATTGATTAAAGATAGAGCCCACATGGGGTTTATATAAAATAGCACCCATCACCTTACAAATCGGTTTTGTAAAAATGAGTTAGGTCAAACTCTAATTCTATCTTGGTATCACAGACCTATTGATTCAGATCACCCACCCTTTATATGCGCACCAAGCCCAACAGTGTTGGACGCAAGGGGATGTGTATTGTGAAAACCCAAGTCCCACGTTGATTAAAGATAGAGCTCACAAAAGGGTTATATAGAGTAGCACTCGTCACCTTACAAGCTAGTTTTGTAAAGATGAGTTAGGCCAAACTCTAATTCTATCAAATCCAAAGATACTTAGTAAAACTAGAAGGTAAGAAAGTATGGCGGTGCTTAAAAAATAGACAAATGTCAGACTTTAAAGACTCGATTTAAAAACAAAGATGGAAACAGACCTCGTCAAGAAAAAAGAGAAAAACCAAGACACTAAGGCTGAAGCTGGATTTGTGAGATAGAAGTGTGATATTATCACTAGACCGAAGTGCGGAAGATAACACATTTGAACCAATTCATTCAGCAAACAAATAGTACAACCCTCATTGTTCCTTAACAACTCCAATCGTCTTCCCAATTGCAAGAACCTGAAAAAGTAGAACGAGAATAAAAAATATTATCGCATAATTATGTTCCTTGGTAAGCTTATGAATAGGGATAAAACTATGAAAATGTGTGAGAACATGTAGACGTCTTCTAGTTTATAACAAGGCTGGAATTCAATGTTCGAGAAGGAGAAGTATATGAAGTAAACAGTTCTGAATGAGTCATAGGGTCATAGGGTGATCATTGGTTCCATAATCCAAGCATTCTTAGGCATAGTATCAGAGGCACTATGGGATCGAGAGCGCAAAAGCTCTTATCACCCATTTCCACGAGTGACGCCAGAAATAATCTCAACAACATTTGTCATTAAAAAGGAAGAGAAAAAAATAGCCAACGAAAATTGTTGTCGAACACCTTTAATGTGCATGCCTTATTCTCTCCCTTTGTGGCATCATGTGCACTACGATCTCCATATACACTCCCTCCAAATATCCATGCAAGAAATCATTGTTGACACCAAGTTGGTGCATTCCTGATGCATCCATTCTGAATTTGCATCACATTTTCCTCTTTTTTTGGCATGCAGTTGTAGCTCATTTAGGCTCTGATTTTTTTTCTCAATTTATGTTGTTTTGAGCATATTTGAGGGGCACCTTGACTTTCAAAAATGGTAGAAACCATAAGATGATATTATGGAAAAAATTTGGAAGCAAACCAAATAAATCTGATAAGTTTAGTCTCTAAAAATCATATCTTTAACAACCAATTACTTCAACACTAATACAAGGAATAGTCAATATGGGCACATTTATTATCATAGTGCTAATCCCGACCCCGAAAGGTATTCTAGATGGCGAAATGCCTTTACTTGATTTCTTGCAATTTCATTTTTGTCTTTGCTTGTTGGTATTACTTTATTTTTTTGTTGGTATAACCTTCTCTTTGTCAAACTATTTGTCTCCGTTTAATTAAGTTATAACTAAAGGACACATACCAGCAACTAGACTTGTCAGAAATTGGTAAGGACTCCTAACAACAGGTTTCTACATGCCAAAAACATAAAAGAATCTCCAAGAGAAGAAATTACCGCATCAGACACATCACAGTGCAGTTTTGTAACAGAATCTCCTCTGCCAAGCTCTTCAGAAAATCCATAAGCAATGTATGTTTTGGGTCCCAAATCTGGTTTCAATGAGCCATTAGGAAGTTTACTGGCAAAATTTAAAAGACCCGATTTTGGATCAGTGTAGTCCATATACGGGAGTGCAGCAAGGAATTCAGCACCATGCCTCGGCAAGCGCTCTTCAAAAGAGGTCGATGAAGGCCAATCTTTTAATTTCAACATTTCTGGCCACTTATTTTTATGCATTCGACCCTTTAGGTAGCCTTGGAAAAACTGGTGTATATTTATTTCAACCTGTGAAGCAGAGTCATGTACAAAAAATGAAGTATGACTGAGTAGATAGATTATTTTTAAATAGTTTACTTGTATAACTTACCCCGCACCAATCCAAGCAATCAACAGCCTTGACACTTTGTGTTTCCTCTTTAAACTTCACTTTGGAACCTGTTTCTCTGAGGGCCCTCCACATTACCATTGGTTCCCAACTAAGACCTGATGTTTTGGCCAGAACATTTCTCACAACCACAGGTTCTCCCCTCATCCAATGCCTCTGGAAGTGCTCGATCTCATCATCAGAAATATCAAGGGCATTTGGACTATATAAGAAATTATCTTTATTGTCATCGCGGAATGCTGCTCTCCTGACTTCAGGATTGATTTTTCCTTCTAACAAACTTAGCTGGCATAAAGAACACTTTTCAGTAATATCTACATCCAGAGGCGCATAATTTCTAGTGAGATCTTCAGCATTATTTAGCAGCTTTGCCACCCAATTAGCTTTGTAAATGCGTCTCAGTTCAAGCAATGCAGAACTACAACCTCCACGCTGCTTTGGAGGACATGGAATGTTACCATCACTATTAGCTTTCCATTCTGGGAAGGGAGAGAGCATGTCAGACTGAGAAGGTAAACTAGTAGGTGCAAGTTCGCTTTCCCAGTCATATCTTCTACGATGAGTTTTACTCTGATTTTTTGTTGAACCATGATTGTGAAAAGTCTTTTCAAAATTTTCATGAGATGTTCCAGCCTCCATGCCTCCAGGTTGGTAACCCTCTCTGAGCTCTTGACAGCACATGAGACAGAGATCATAAGAGCAACTGGTGTTGGGGCAGCTACGGTAAAATCCATGTATGGATGTACTGCAATTGTCACTGCAATTTATAACAGAGGCGTTCAGTTTAGGACCAAATTAAAAGGTAAAAGCAATCAAGGCCTCAAGGTGACAAAGCCTTGTTGTTAAATATATATGAGAAGGACCGCATTCTTATCCACGAAGTCCCAGACAAACCAAAGGCAAAGAAAATGGAACAAAATAGTAACAGAAATTATAATGACTGCAATCTAATTTCTTATGATAGTATGCTCCGTAAGCGTACCAGTACAAGCGCTCACTTTCACTTAGCTTTGATCTTGTTATGTCAATTTCTTGCAGTTGCTTACCTAACATCATACAATCAGATATAATTAGAAAACAAAACAAAACAAAAATAAATTTCTAAGCGCATGTTTGTCATCATGTTACCCCTTATTTTGGTTTCAGTCTCTAGTTCCAAGCTCTGCTCCTTGTGGACATGCCTCAGAACTGGCAGGGCTTTAGATAGTAAGTGCAGCAGTCGCTGTAATTTGACACTGGCATCTACTTTTCGGTCCTGTGAAACAAGGACAAGAATTAAACCAAATTAACAGTTAGCATATAAATTATATAATGATGAAAAATTTATGAATTTTGAAAACAGATAGAATGGCATCTACCATTTGCGCAGGAAACTCCCGCAAGCAAGCTTTGCAGTTGCAATTTCCCCAACAAAATGGACACGCATTCTCAAACTCCTCATGGGTTTTTCCTGGATACCTGATTAATCTCAATCACAAAAAGCAATCAATGTCGTGAAAATAAGAAAAGGCTAAAAGTTAATTGAATTGTATGCATTATTATCAGATATCAGACATGGCAGCACTACGGTGAAAATAATTTTTACCTTTCTTAGTGAAAGTAAATCTTACCAGTTCTTAATGCATTCAAAACAATAACGCTTTCTGTTGCAACTTGAGCAAAAGACAACACCACCCTTATCATTCCGTTGGCACTGATGGCACATCAAACTTCCACCCTCCTTGGTCTTGGTGGATAAACCCTGCGAAACCTAGAGTAAAATTCAAAGGTAAGAGAACCTTTATCATCAAACAATATAACAAACGTTATTAGTATTTTGATTCTATATGACCTCTACTAACCCGTTGTTTGGTATCTTTAACTCCATTCTTAGCTTTATTGACCTTATACACATCAATTAGTCTCTTTCCACAATCACCTTCATTCTCCTGCAAAATCGAATTGAATAATAACACAATCGGAACATAATAGGTATAATTAAATTAAAATCATCAAAAAAATAACAAAACCTAACTTGATCGATCGGTTTCTTCTTCTTTCTGATGGAGTTTCCATCGAGCACCGACTCCGATCCGTTGTTCAGATCGGCGATCTTCCTTCTCCTGCTATAGCATCTGAGTTTCTTCGCCTCTTGAAATCCGTTCGGGATTTGTTTCTCTCCGGCGACGCCGCCACGATTCTCCGGCCGGCCACCAGAAAAAGAGTCCATCTACGACCTACCGGAATTGGGATTGGAGTTATTATTACTATTTGAAAATTCTAAATTGGTTGACTTGTGAATTGTGATGTAATTGAAAAAGTGTTGTGTTTGGAGTAGAGAGAGAGAGAGAGTATTTGGATACGGCGTGGGGTTTTGAGTCCCCACCGTTGTCTTTCTATCGGAGTTTGGAATCTAGGTTTCCAGAACGTGATCCTCGTGTTATACCTACCCACTTTAACTTCAGGATTTTTTTTTCAAAATAATTTTTTTTTTTAAATAATAATTAGTATTATAAAAATATGTTTTCTTCGTTCAACTTACTATTAAGAGAGAATAATATTTTTACTATAATACTCTTATCATATATTAGGAATGATAAAATTTTTATTAATAAGAGATAGAATTGAAAAAATATATATTGAAATTTGAAATTTGTCATTCATTTTATGACACTATATTATCATAAATAGATCACTCATTGTAGAAATGTGTGATATAAAATATATTTAAAAATATGTACATTTAACATGAGATATTTAATTATAAAATAAACAATTATCATAAAATACCATTCTATTAAATAATTATATAAAATAAAATAAAAGGAATAAATGAGATGGAAAAAGAAAAAAAATGAAATTTAAAAAATAAAGTTTTTAGTTTTCAAATAAAAGTCATTATTGATTAAAAAAATAAGTATTATATTAAAAGTGACCCATAAAATTAAATATTGTATTATTGTATTCATGTATTAATTTTATATGTAATAGGTAGTATGGTCAATTGAATAGTAATTGTTTGATACTAAATGATCGTAAAAACTTAATGTATTAAATAATCATAGAAAAAAAAAGACATATAAGTTGAAGAAAAAATAAAATTTTAACAAATGCAAATGTAAAATTTTAAATAAAATGCAAAATATAAATTAATTTACTTAATTGTAAATTGAACAATAATTATATAGATTTAAATATATTAAATAATCATATAAAAAGAAGAACAAAATAATCGTGAATTGGAGAAAATAATAATATTTAAAAATTAATATTTTATCTCTCAAGTTAAGATAATAGTTGATTAAATTAAAATAGATATTGTGTTGATATCCGTAAACAAAAATTAATAATAAATGATATGATTAAAAATATATCTTAATATTTGTATCTAACATTGTTACCTAATTTGTTAAAAGCCATTTTGTATAATTTCACGAAAGCTAGGGGACCTATTTGCAAGTATATCAGTTTTACACAATTTTACAAAATCTGTAATCAATACTATAATAATATTCTATATTAGCCATAACACATAATATTGTTTGCAGCCAATTATCCTTTGATAAATAAATATAACAGTTATTGTTTTATGTTATTATGTATTACATGAATATATTTAACTATAATATTTTGAATTTGATTTAATTAGTTTGAAGGCTCAACTAAATTGGGTTGGCTGGGTTGACTTCACAAAGTTGGTGTGTTTACAATCTTCTCGTGGTTTTTAGTATTTAGCCTATAGATTGATGCAGGTAGTAGAGCAGCAGGAACACCAAAAAAGCAGCCTGATAAACTTACCTTTTATCCAGCAGAATAAACAAATATCCTATTAAAAATGTTTTTTTCCAGCAGTTACACGAGAATGTACATTGAAAAAGCCTTTGTAGCGTTTAGATGGGCTTAGTATGTTCGTTCCTAAAGCTACATCAACATGGATATGGATGTAAAGGTACAAATGCATTTAAGGTTGAATTCATAGCAGGATTGGCTTTAGAGAAAATATTTAGAGAAGTTAATCATATCATAACTTAAAGGTGTGAAAAACACAAGAAAGTGGAATTTGAATTGGATTTATAAAACAAAACTATTCTTTTAAAAATATTCTCCTTTAAGTTAAAATATTTTTTCCTTCACTCTTGATAATAAAAATAAATAAGAACAAGAAGTAAAGAACAATATATGTTTATACTAGTTTACTTGAAAATTATTAAGCTAGTCTAGTCCATCCGTCAAGATGATTTCGCCTCACTCAATCGAGGACTTAATTCACTATAACAAAACTTACAATCTATACAAGCTACCCGCAAGTGATTAATAACCTCTAGACTCACAAGCCCTAGACTTCTTAAGAATTCAGACATACTCGGTCCCTTAAGGAATATCAACTAATAATCAACCTGATTATTACAATGCACAAGCTACCCGCAAGTGACTAACAACTTCTAAAACTTGCAAGCTATAGACTTCTTAAGGCTACAGATGTACCCGGTCCCTTAAGGAATATCAAACAATAATTTAAATACACGTTTTGTTTACAAGAATGTTGCTTCTAAAAAACTGAGTATGTAAACTATTTTATGAACAATGACTTAAGAGTATGAAAGCAATGAACAACGTTTTCGCATGAATATTCAGTAGTTAGCCGCTTTCTTTCTTAGTCTTCAAGCCTTTATATAGCCATTAACATAATGTATTCGTTAAGGGATACTCTTGGAATTTCCAGAAACATTGGCAGCTTGAGCAGTAACATGGGGGACAAGATCGTGCAACGCGTTTGTCCTTTCATGGTAGCGGAATGAAACGTTGATTGCAGCATGTATTATTTGTACCACGTTAACGTTATCTTCTTTCCTTCTGCACTTCAGAGGCTTATGCGAGCATGAGTTTAGAAGCGAGAATATAACATCAGGTCATTAGAACTTCAATTCTTCAAAGTCTTCAGAATTGCATCTTTAGAGTCTTCAGCACTTGTTTATGAGAATTTTTTCTTCGAACCTTGGGTCTTTAGAACTTCAAGTCTTTAGAATCTTTAGACCTTATGTCTTTTAGAGTCTTCAGCACTTGGTCTTCAGAACCCTTATCTTTAGAAATTCATAAATAAAAACATAAGCTTCCAGCATCTGGACTTCAGTAGAAACTTTGTCTTCGTATCTTCTAACTTTGTTTCTTTGGAACATGTTGTCTTTAGAAGCTTGAGCCTTCAGCATCTGGACATAAATAGAGACTTCAATCTTTAGATCTTTTGACTGGTTTCTTTAGACAAATATCAGAGTTTATACTTTAGAGTCTTCTAGAGTATTTTGCTATTATTCAACAGAACTTGTGTAGTATAGAAGCGGAATCAATTATCTTCTAATGTCTTGGCCACGCCATCCATTAGAAGCAGAACTTGTTTTTTGAATACTTAACAATAACAAACATTATTACAACAAAATTGTTCATATAATCATACTCATTTGTTATCATCAAAACTCAGATAATATTGCAGAACCAAATCTTGTTCTTACAATCTCCCCATTTTTTATGATGAAAAAACTATGTATTTTGATGACATAATTTTGTACATATAATCATGATCAGTGAAATTTAGAAGGGTAAGAAATACTTATCCTTTTTCTAATACTCCCCCTGAGTCAATGACTTGATGAAGATAGAATATCCTGACTCTAAACCATTTGAGTAAAAACTCCCTCTGGTTCCAATAGATCATATATCGAGATCTTGAGAGTCTTGACTTTGGATGCCAATAGACAAATTAAGATCTTGATTTCACGCAACTTCTTTATTGAATCTTTGAAACTTTAATGTAACTAAGACATCTTCCAGATTCCCAATAGATTCTCAATTTTGGAGTCTGATTCCAGGTTTCACTTATTGAAGTCTGATTATGAGTGAAAAACATCTTCAGAGTCTGTAGCCAACAGGTTAGGCATAAGCTTTGAATAGTGCTTTCAGATCTTTGTCTTTTAATCAGAGTTCTAATTTCCTGAAAAAGAAAAATAATTCTAACAGAAACAGAAGTTTAACTAGGTTAGAATGTAAGCAGCTCTTTTCAGAGAACATTTTCCAGAACTTGATTATTGAAATCAAAATTACGTTCATTTAAATTACTCCCCCCTTTTGTCATAATCAAAAAGGTAATTATGTGTGAAAAACACAAAAACCAGAAGAAACAATCAAGAAAAGATAAGAAGTTTCATTGATATTCGAAGGAGATTACAACAGAGTGAATAAAGAAATGGAAAGCTATCTAAACTTCAAACACATCATAACTCTCATTAAATAGAGCATTGTCTCTGATGAACATATTTCGTTGAACAATTTCAATTATACATGTTAACTCAAACAGTTCAGACAACACGCGTCCATGTGGAATGAATGATTTTTGAGAGTTCCTGAATGCTTGGATTGATAGCTTCAGATGATTGAATATTATTTCCGAAAGATTAATTGGAATATTTTTTATGAAGGCAATAAAGAAGACACATATCCCTAGGAAAAACTATATCAAGATCTTCTCCTCTGGAATGGAGATTTTTCAACAGAAACTGAAACCAAACTTTTGAAAGTGGTTTCAAGTGATCTGCACTAAGGGGCTGAAATTTAAATGAAGAGTTAGGAACATTTGGAAACATGTTAACATTTATGCAGGAGTTGGGTAAAGGTGGACTCTGGATGGCTTCATCAATGAAGGAGAGAGTGATGGTAATCGGAACACCAAAGATGTGAGAATGAATGGTGTTTATATCAAGACTAACAAAATCATGGAGCCAAAAATTCTTTAAGAGGTTTGGATAAACAAGACCTCTCAGCATTGTTGCATACCCAAACTATCCTTGATTTTCAATTATTATATTGATGAGACCATCATCAGACACATAATTGAGTCTTTTCTCTTTGATTACTTCGAGAAGATTTCCATCTCCTTGAAAAGTTCTAATAGCCATGATATGTAGACAGGTTTGAAGAGAAGAGACAATTGAAGATGATATAAGGATAATTACTTAATGAGTGACTATAGATATAAATAGTCAGTCAAGCAGTTCACAAATTAAGACAATTGAAACACTCAAGTGATGTCTCAGACTACTAAAAGAAGGAAATGAAAAGAGAAGTAGATCAAACGTTAAAATGAGAGAGCACAAAAGATAATATCCTCGCAGAGAGATGGATTAGAAGAACCAAAAATAATATAGTCGACATAAATTTGAACAATTAGAATATTATTTT